AGATGCTGAACAACAGCTCAACCTGGAGCTGGGCTGCCATGAGTTGCTGGCCAACACCATAGGCTGCAGCCCCTGCTGCAGTGGGTTGCCATGGGCTACCATGTGTGTCCAGCAGCCAGCGTAAGCGGCTGTCCAGAAGCTGGCGACTGATCTGCCTCGCCCGGGAAGAGCGCAATGATGGTGCCAACTTGGGCCAGTGAAGCAACGTCCTCCACAGCTAGACTGAAGAACAAAAAGGACAGCAACTTGTCTGTTCCCCTTCCCCCAATTCCCCAATAAAAACCTTTAAAAAAACCCAAAAAACAAAACTAATCTTGATCACCTACTGTGTTTTGGCCTTGGTTGCTGGGGATAGTAAAGGCAGATGCAACCTGATTAAAATAGAGAATTGCCTGGAACATGTGATAAAAATACAGATTCCTTGGTCCCAACCCCAGACCTCTGAATTTGAATCTCTAAGGAAGTTCTCAGGCGAATCTTAGAATTGGGTAAATTGGAAACACTTAACCTGATTTCATTCATAAGAAATAATCCAGAATTGGCAAATCCATAAAGACAGATTAGTGGTTGCCTCAGGGTGGGGGTGGGACTAGGGGGATGTGAAGGCCCAGGGCTGATAGCTAAGGGGTGCAGTTTCTTTGGGGTTGATAAAAATGCTCTAAAATTGATTGTGAGGATGATTGCACAACCCTGTGAATATACAAAAAGCCAATGAACAGTATGCTTTAAATGGGTGAACTGCATGGTATGTGGACTAAATCTCAATAAAGCTGTTTAAAAAACAAGTAAAACAAACAAACAAACAAACCCTTGGACCAAACTCCATAAGGGTAGGCACCGGTCATCTTCCCCGGACTTTAGTGGTGCCCGTTACCTAGTAGAATAGTCAGCAAATACTTATGGATGTATATGTTGGAGGGTACAAAGTAAATGAGCAATTGCAATGGGGTGTACTATACTAAGGGAAGTGCAGGCTCCTGTGATAGGAGAGTAGTGGAGGGGCAGCTTCCTGAAGAAATCTGTGATGTTTAGGTTGAAACCTGTCAGGTGAACAGGCACCAGCAACGCAAAATGAGGGGTGGGAAGAGTGTACCACGATGGGGCAAGCAAGCCCTGCAAGCACCAGTGCAGAGCAAGAAGTTAGGAGGCAGAAGTGAGGCTGGAGAGGGGAACAGACTCAAGGGTTTTGAGAGCCAGGCTGAAGGGGCTGGAATTTAACAGAGAGCCTATTTATATTTTAGAAATCACTCTGACTACACTGTGGAGAATGGATGGAAGAGGGGCAATACCAGGGCCAGGAAGCTTGTGAGGGGGCAGTTTTAGTGTCTAGGTGAGATGTCAACGTGTCCTGAACCTGAGTTGGTATCAATGGGGATAAAGAGAGGTGGACAGAATTTAGAAATATTTAGGGCATTTAATTGAGAGGATTTAATTGAGATGGCTGGGATGAGGGGACAGAGGAAAAAGTCAAGGAGTGGCTTGGGTACCTGGGTAGCTGGTACCCCAAAAAACCCTGGAGGAGAAACAGATTGAGATATTGAGTTTGATTATTGAGCATGTTGTTCAAAAGGAGGCATCTAGTCAGTCAGCAGTTGAATATGGGGGTCTGGAGGTGAAGAGAGCACCATGTAAATCACTGACATACAGCTTCAGCCTATAGATGGGAGCCAGAGGAATGGATGAAGTGGTTCAGTATGTTTCAAGAGCGAGGAAAAAAGGGCCTAGAATGGAATCTTGTAGTGTGATGTTTATAAGAAGATGCTTGAGGAGGAGGTGGAAGAGAAGATTGTAAGGCGATTCAGAGGAAATAGCTAGAAACGTAGGTGTTAGCCAAAGCAATTCATCTGCTTTTTAAGCTGCTGTAAGTCAGCATTTATTGAAGGTCCGTATGCCCTGGGTATATTCAGAGATAAGTGAGACTTGACTGTTGACATCAAACTCAAATTGTGGCCATCACCCCATTGCAACCTTCTGAAAAAAGAGGCCCCTTTCTTGCAGGCCAATGACAATCTTATTTCCTAAAGGATAGATTGTTCTTCCTTAGCAGTTTGTATAGGCTCTGGAGTCCTCCCCAAGCTCACCCTCCTCTATTACCCAGGTCCAGCAGTCAAGCCTTCTGTCCATGGGGGATGGATGGTCTGAATAGGATACTCCAGGACTGTCTGGAGTGGGTGGGGTTTGGAGGGAAAGGAGGGGAACATGTCATATGCCTAGGGTTCAGCAAATTGTACCCACACCAGGCACAGAAACACACAAGAAAGGCACCTCCACTCTGTGGGCGAGACAAAGAAGCAGTCCTCCCACGTGCCAACCCATCTGCTTCTTTGCCTTCACAAACATGCCTTTTTTTTTTTCTCTTCTTTTTTTTGGTTCTCTGCAGCTTTGAATACGAGGAAGAAGACTGGGAGACAGGAGGAACGGTAAGGTTGGAAGAGGGCAAGAGGAAAGGAGGGAAGTAGGGGGAGCCTCTAGTGACCACCAACACAATAAATCAGATCTGGACTACCTCAGCCTGGTCCCTCTTTTACAGTGCGCGCTTATCAGTTTCCTCCTGGGAAGAGCCCTGACGATGATAGCGAAGGCTTGGTGTGGCCTTGATTGATGGAGCGCTCCTCAGTGTGTCAGAGGCCTTAGAGGCCCACTTCCTTCTGTCCCTTCAGAGGCTTGCACAGGCTACACAGGACAGCTGGGTACAGGCTTTCCCTGCCCTGCTGTCTTTGACTCTTGATATGATCAACCTCCCATCACCTGGGACAACAGGCTCCTGTCTGGAGTCCAGGGCAGCAGGAATGAGTGTTTCCCTGAACCTGTGTGACAGCTGGGTAAGAAGTGGGAGTGCTGGGAGCAGCTTTGCCCTGCGGGAAGATTTTTAGGAAGCACCTGAGGCTGTGCATGTGTTGTGGAAGGGGAGGGTGTACAGGAGGGAGGATGAGGGCTCTTCCTGCCCTCTACCATCTCACAGACCTGGGCACGGCCTGGGTGTAGGAGGCCATCCAGCCTGACTTCAGGTCGTTGATGGAGTGGGGTTGAGGGACCGTTTAGTGGTTGATCCACACTGCTCTGAGCTAGGCAGGAGTGATGGGACAAAGGACTAAGGCCCCTTTTCTCTTGGACTTGATAGTCCTTCACCTGTACCTGGCTGTGCTCACAGTGTCCTCCCTGACCCTCACACACACACCCTTGGCTAGGACTGAATACTAGGCTGTGGCACCAGGACCCTCCTTATAGAGGACAGAAAGTTAGGGTCCCTATCCTTTTCCAGCTTTGAAGAGCAGGGATGTGGGGCCACTCAGATTTTCAGTGACAGTCCCAGTTGACCCCCAGCTGGGATATTTTTTCCATCCTACATTTCTTGCCCAGGCTGTCATCTCCTGTGGATTGAACTATAAGCTCATGCTGGCCCAGTCACACCCTGTCTGCACTTTCCCAGGACCTGGTCAGCTAGTGTTTACTTCCTCCTTCCCCACCACACAGGCTACGCTTTGGATGCAAGAGGACAGTCCTGTCCTACCAGTGGGCCTCTTGTGGGGCCCCAAGGGCTGGTTCTGGGACTGAAACCTTCCTGCTGGGGCCCTTGGGGCAAGCCCAAGCTGTGGGCAGCTTTGGGCGCTGGCTTGGTCTCTGACCCTTGTCTTCTCCAGCCTCTGCCACTATACCCTACCACCCCAAAAGCTGAACTGACACCCTCACAGTTAGAGGGAGCACAGAGCAGTGTGCTGAGGGCTAGGTGCCTGCCCCCACCCCCACCAGTCTGGAATGAGCCACCTGCATCCACACACAGGTGTTTCCTGTGCGCCTTCCTGTTGCTGGTTTTTTTTTTTTCTTTTCTGCTCAGCTTGGCTTCCCCAGCAGGTGGATAAGGGCCCAGCCAAACCTCTTCATATACAGATCTAAACACTGGGGGGGTCGGGTGGGGGGCAGGGCTCCCTGGGGATCTGGGTCACCCCCCCTCCCCCCACTGCCAGGGGGAACTCTTGGCACCTCTTTGGCTTTTCCTGAGCGCAGGCACACACATTTTCCCCAGTGTATCACACTGCTATGCTGCCACCACAGGCACAAAGAGTGGGCTGAGGGAATGGGGAAGGCCCTGCCTGTGCAGTCTCCCTTGCCCCTGGACAATGAAAGCTCTGGAGGGAGAGGAGAAGGGTGGAAGGCCTATTTCTCCATCCTTGGGTGTGGGCCTCCCTCAAGCCCTCCTTAGAACAGGCCTGCCATCCTGCAATCCACCCCACCCTCATGTTCCTTCCATAGAACTCTTAGCTTTCTGGGGTTAACATACTCACGTGCCACACAGCTCTGGGGGGAAGTGAACCCTCTCCCTGGAGTCCTGCTTCCCAAAGCAGAACAGGTCAGTCAGCTGTGGGGGGGCCATGGAGTTCAGTCAGGTTTGTTATTACAGAGAGGAGGCAGCTCAGAGAGAGGAGGGACTTGCTGTTTAGGGTCACAGGGCAGTCAGTTGGGTCTCCTGCCTCCCAGGCCCTAGCTCTTACCCTCTACAAGGATCTCTTACTAGCGAGCCCTCGAGCTCCTAGCACTCAGCCCCCTCTGCAGGAGGCTGCCAAGGCAGAGGGGATGCCCCAGGAGCCTGGCATTCTGATGGGGTTCTGCTGCCTCCTGGTGGCCAGAAGCTCCAGCTACCACCATGCCTTGTTTTCCTGCCTGTTTCTTCCTCTTTGCCTCCTGGCAGCAGGGAGCTCAGCTGCTGGGGAGCCACTGGCACCTTTGGTCCTTCTCTAGGCCAACTCCACGGTTTGGGTCCCTAGTTTCCAGGCCCAGGGCATGCCCAGCCTGCAGGCTGGGCCTCCTTAGTAACACCCCACCACGCTTTTCCTCTGCCCTCCAAGCCCACTTCCAGCCTTTGGGTTCTCTTCCACCTGGATTTCCAGGACAAAAGCACACGCCATTGTCACGGTTGGAGTATGGACACATTAGTGTCAGGAAGGGCCACAGGCAAAGGGTGCTGGAGCCAGAGGGTCAGGAGTGCACAAGGTCAGGCCATATAGGAAAGGCATTTTGCTTTTTTATTTTCTGTAAAACTCTGTAAATAAAATACAAAACCAAGGGATGTGGTGGGGCAGAGGCAGGATGGCCGGGCCTGGGACACTGATTTGTGGCAAGTGTGCTGAGCTGAGGCTGGGAGGCACTTGACTGCAGGCACTGACTACCAACCCCAAGGGCAACAGAAGAATATATTAGATTTTCATTGATAGGAATCTGTGGGGGAGGGGTGTCTGGAGCCGGCCGTCACCCTCCCTGCCAGTGCCTGGTGAGCCCTGAAAGTGGGGGGAAGGTGCACTGGGAGCTGGTGGGTGGGGAGTTTAGAATGCTGTGCTGGCCATGCTGCCGGGCCCAAAGATTCGGGGCAGGGCATCCAGTGACTCCTCTAGCCGTCGATGGGCAGACTGTCCCTCTTCCCCTGTAATGGGTAAGGATGGGGTAAGGAGTGGCCCTAGTCCCACCCAGTCCTCCCACCCTTACTCCCATCCCTTACCCCTACTCCTATCAGCCAAAATGTCCCAGAACCCTACTCGACCCTATCTCCCATCCCCCAGACTCACCACACTGCTGCAGGCTCTGCCGAGCAGCTTCCCTCACAACTTCTGTGTCCGTTTGGCACAGGTACACCAGGGGCTCAATGCCCTCAGGAGCCTACCAGGGGAGGAAGCACTGAGGTGAGCCCAGTGGAGCAGGTGAGAAAAGCCTACAGCCCAGGGCTGGGGGAACCAGGAGGGGAGACAAAGAGTGGGTGGGTTGGCAGGTGTCACCTTGATGCAGCCCAGGGCCAGGCAGCCAGCCACTCTCGTCTGCACATCGTCATCCTCAAGTTGATCCAGGAAGCACAGTAGGGCCTGGGTAAGGGTGAGAGAGCAGATTTAACCAGACACTGGGAGCTTGGTATCCCGGCCTTTGCCTTCAAGGGAACCCTGCCCAACGCTCACCCTTTCCCTGAAGGCAGGGCCCAGTGACAGGCTCCGGAGCTGGGTGCTAACAGCAGCCATGACCTTATTGTTGCCATGGACGAGCAGGGAGCTGAGGGCCCGAAGCCCATCCCTTCGCAGTCGCCCCTCAGGTGCCAGCCTCAGGGCCTTGAGCACAATAGCCTGATCATCTGAGTTCAGATTCCGCACCAGTAACACTGAAAGAAGGAAGAGGGGCTTGGAACAAGGTAGCAGGGCAAGGATCCTCCTGGGGTGGGATCTTTTGTACACTCATGTCATCCTCCCCTTAAGACCCACCCATAGGGTCAGGCCACTTTGTGATCAAGGTCACTGCCTTACCTTCCTCAGCGGTCTCGGTCACATAGGCCTCCATAGAGGGGCTGTCCAAGGTTTCCACATAACTCCAGAACTGGAAGACGGTTAGCTGCTCTCCAGGGCCTGGCTGGGGCCTCCTGGGCAGCTTCTGCCCCAGGGCATCCTCCAGGAACTTGACACACACTGTGGGAGGCAGTGCCACAGGCCTCAGGGTTTAGATGAACTCAGGCCCTTTGAGGGAAGAGTTCTCCCACCCCAAGCTCAGGTCCAGGGGCCCCTGTTCTAACCCTACCCATCTGGGTCCTCTTGCACAAACCTTTGCTATTTCTTCCCCTTGCTCAGCTCAGCATGTGTGTGGGCTGAACTGGCTTTCCCTGAGGTCCCATCACTGGGAATCTGAGAAAGGGCAGAGGGGGCAGGTAGGCAGCCCACTCACCAGCCTCGGCTAAGCCTGGCTGGCGTAGGGAGAGACGGGCACCGTACTGATTGCAGAAGGTGAGGAGCACCCTCTCCACAGAGCAGATGAAGGGGCTGAGTCCCTCTGTGCAGTGGTCCCAGAAGGTCAGGAAGCCGGGTCGAGAGGCCGAGAACTGCACCACTGTGAGGAGGTGCAAGGAAATGTTAGCAACAGAGCAGAAAAGTGGGCAGACATGTGTAGATGGGGGAGGGCAGGGGAGGAGCTTCAGGGCCAACACCAAGCCACAGCCCACAGGGTCTTTACCTTCCTGGGCTGAAGTAACAGGGATTTCCCATCGCCTGCTAAGCTCGCATACTGCCTCAAGCACTCGGGCCTCTCGCAGCAGCCGCTCCAGGGCCCATGCCTCCTGACAGCGCAGGGGCCCAAATGTGCCCAGTTTCTGGAGAATGGGGGGGGCAAGAATGGGGGGGCTCAGACCTCAAGGTACAGCTTGGGGAGGTTGGAGCCCAGGGACTACAAGTCCCAGCATGCATTAGGAGAGGTTGGGGGGAAGCCAGAGTGTAGGAGGTGTTCCATTCTGTAAGAGCCAGATACCAGGGACCAGGGGCATTGGGGAGTGGAATTCAGAGGAAGCGTGGAGGGCTCCCTATGGTAAAAGGATATAAAGGGTGGGTGAGGGGAATACCACTAGCCTCACCAGCAGGAGGCGGCTGCAGTGGTACAGGTGCTGGACCAAGGCAGTGTCCAGAGCTGGACATTCTGTGCTGAGGGGGCGAGCAATGGATGAGTCGAGGCTGTCCTCTGCCCCAGGCTCCAGGCTGCTTGGGGGCCTGAAAGAAAAATGAGGTCAACTACCCCAGAGGCACATATCACCATCTGGCCACCAGTGTATTTTTATTAAGTTCCCCCATCCCAGAAGGGAAGAACAGATGATGGATAAGACAACAGACAATGGGTAAGTTCACAGAGGTCTTCCAGGAGGAAGGGGCTGAAATGAGCAGGTGTTAGCAGGGGTCTCCAGTGACTGTCTGCCCTGTGCCACCTCCAGCTAGGACTGCTGGGACTTCCGGGGTTTCCAGGGCTGGGATGGGTGGGAGTAGGGTTGCAGGTGGGATGGTCTACGGCATGTGGAGTGCAAGGGGTTATGGCCCAAGGGGCGCAGGGCACAGGGCCATAACCTGGGCAGCAGCAGCAGGAGGAGGGGCCAGGCATGACCCTCACCTGGGAATTGGCAAAGGCTGCTCTGAGACAGACAGCTGAGAGGCCGGGCTCTTTGGGACAGCCAGGGCTGAGACAAAAAGGGTTGATGCTGGGGGACCCAGAGTGCATGGGGAGACCTTGAAAAGGCTCATTCATAGGGTAGGTCCAAGGTGAGGCCAAGGGAGAGAGGAGGAACTAGAGGCTCATGAGCTAATGGGGACCGGCAGGGGAAGCAGACATTGCTGGAACTAGGAGGAGGGTGGTCAGAAGCACTGGGGATACAGATGAGATTGGAAACATGAGAAGTACATGGGAGGGGAGAACACAGAGGCTCCACCAGCAAGTCCATCCCCTCCTGTCCACTTCCAGTCTTGCTGCTTTCCTCATGTGCTCAACCCGGTCCCACCTCACCTGTTCCCCTTTCTCACCTTACTCCTTCACCTGGCATTCACCTCACCTCTTCCCCCTCAGCTAGTCCCATCTTACCTGTCCCCAGGACCATCATTGTCTTCATCTTCATTCTCATTGAGGAAGCTGAAGCTCTCCAGGGCATGCTCCACAGTGATGCTAAGACTGGAGGCCCGGCTGCGAGTAAGACCTTGTCTCTGCTGGGGTTGTGAAGGGAGTCAGAGCTGCTGCCACTGCCTGGCTGCCCCTGTGCTGCCCCAGTCCAGCCCAGCCCTCCTTACCATGAGCAGACTCTCCAGCCGGGTCACCTCCTGCTCCAGGCCCTGCAGCTCAGGAAACTGGCCACGATAATCATCTAGGGCAGCCATTAGGGCCCCCAGTGCCTCCTCCAGCCTCCTGTCTCCAGCCCCTTCAGCTGCCCCTAAAACTGGAGCCTGGGCAGCCATGACCAGGCTAGGGTCGGAAGGCTGGGGCACAGGGGCTGGGGATGAGGGAGAGGGGCTTGGGCTCTTAAGGATGGGCTCTGGGGGGTCTGGGGAAGGGCTTTTGAGGGGTTCCCAACTGGTACTGGCAGAACTTGGGGAGGAGGTGCTTGGGGCTATAGGGTCTGCTTGAGTATAGGCAGTGGAAGCTGGGTGGCCACAGGACAGGGGGTCAGTGCCTGGGAGGGTGGGGTCTGTGTGTGCAGAGGAGCTGGGGAGCATAGCAAGGTCTAGAGAAGTGGAAGGGCTTACACTTATAAGGGTGGGGCTTCTGGTGGTCTGGACTGGGCCCTTAGCATTGGGGGTAGGACTTGTAGTGGTGGGAGTTGAGATCTTGGCTTTGTCAGTAGGGCTTGCAGTAGTGTGGGTGGGGCTCGCAGTAGTGTGGGTGGGGCTCGCAGTAGTGTGGGTGGGGCTTGTGGTATGGGTGAGGCTTGTGGTGGGCTGGGCCGGGCCCGTGGCACTGTGGGTAGGGCCTGTAGTAGTGAGGGTAGAAAGCATGGGCTTGATGGTGGGGCTTGTGACAGTACTTGTCAGATTTGTGACAGTGTGGCTGGGGCTTGTGGTGGTCTGGACTGGGCTTGTAGTGCTAGGGGTAGGACCTTCAGTAGTGAGGGTAGAAAGCATTGGCTTGTGGGTGGGACTTGTGGGAGTCTCGCCTAGGTCCATGGCACTAGGGGTAGGGTCTGTAGCAGTGAGGGTGGAGGGCTTGATCTTGTGGGTAGGGCCTGTGGCAGTGTGAGTGAGGCTTGGAGTACTGCTGGTAGGGCTTATGGCACTACAGGTAGAGCTTATAGTGGTGTAGGTGGGGCCTGGCAGTTCAGGAGAGCTAGAGTCTGTGGCCTTGTGAAGTGAGTCTAGTTGTACAGGTGGAGTGGGCTCTGTAGATGTACGGGCAGGATCTGTTGTACTGAGAGTGGGGCTTGTGACAGAATGGCCAGGATCCAGGGCAGGAGGGACAGGACCAGGGTGCTCCCCATGGGTAGGATTTGGGTGTGTAGATGGGCTAGGTCCCTGGCTTTCTAGGTCCTTAGCCTCTACTGAAGCCTCAGCCAAGGCAGCATCCACACTGGCCTCACTGATGTGGCTCAGAGTCCGGCTGTAGGGGGCATGCCCATTGGCCAGGGCTGGGGCCATGGCCCCCTCGTCATCCATGGGCCCAGAGGTGAGGGTCTCAGGCCTACGAAAGGCAACTTGGATGGGCAGAGGCTCAGGCTGTTGCACCAAGGGCCTGGGGGCTGAGGCGTGGCGGGCAGTGCCCGAGAGCTGTGGGCTGGATGAATCATCTGAAGATTCGGATGACAGGGACCACGCTGTCCCATTCTCCAGCTCCTCCTGCCGCCTCAGCATGTTCTGGGAGAGAAGAAAGGGCATTTCGGGACCATCCCCAAGGAACCCCTAGCAATGATGTGGCCTGAGCCTGGGTTGTGACTCACATAGAAGGCCTGCTCCCGAAGCGAGGGTGTGTCTGGCGGGCTCTGGCTATAGGTGGAGAAGCGCTTGGTGACTGTGGAGGCTTTGTTGACAGTAGAAGCAGCTGAAGGCTGGTCATCCTTGTCGAAGGGGCTGGGGAGGGAAGATGCCGTTAGCAGGTGCTACAAGCCCCTGGACCTGTCCCCAAGTCCCTCAGTCCCACCAACCTCCAGGTGACTTCCAGGCTGAGCTTGATGGTGCCGAGGTCATTGATGTCCACAGCCACAACCTGGGGTAGGGCAGCGAACAGGTCCTTGGTCTCGCAGGAGACACTGCCAACAATCACATGGTTGGCCAGGCCCTTTAGCTCTGTCACCTGTAGTCAAGAATGCATCATGGGGTCATAAGGGTGTGGGGATCATGAGATTATGGAAGATCAGAGGTCTGAATTTGCATAGAGTTATTTGATCGTCACGGGGTCATGGAGCCATGAGGAGGCTGCAGGGATTGGAGTTCTCTGGGAAATGAGGCCATGGAAGACTGAAGCACCCTGGGAACATGGGGATCACAGAGGTCTGAGTTTGTAGAGTCACTGAGGTTGTGAAGGTAACAATCTTTTGGGAGTTCAGGGGGTCAAACAGTTATAAGGTCAGAAGGTCACAGGGTCACATATTCACAGGGCCATGGAGCCAGGCGAGGGTCATAGAGGTAAGGGTCTCAGGGTCATGAGGGGTTCTCAGGGTCATGGAGTCACAGGATCGTGTGTCCTGTGGTCCTGGGCAGAGGCATTACCTTGATGGACAGGAATTCCGTAAGCAGAGGAAGAAAGACGGTTTCTTCACTGTCCCACACCTGTTTTCCACTACCCTCAATGCGGCCCCGCAGTTTCCAGCGCTGACGCCCATATTTCATGCAAATCTAGGGGAACAGGTAAGATAAGACAGCTTTTGATGTTACGACCCTGACATCCCAGCCCTTCCCTGTACATCCTCATACCTCATATTGATCGCCCACACACAGCCTGGCGAAGCCAGCCAGCCCTGGGGATGGGGGGAGAAGGAGATGAGCCATGTTGAGGTAGGGGTCTCAAGCACACACTTCCCTCTTCCCAGACCAGTCTGCCTCCACTACTCAGTACCTTTCATCCGGAGATGGAACTCGCCCAGCTGTGCCTCCAGCTCACTCTCCAGCAGACACATGCTCTAGGAGGGATGGGCAAGGACAGGAAGGGGTCAACAACCAGTCCCGTCTCACCAACTCTGCCATACCCTGTGCCTCTGCCTCATGAGCACCCATCCCTCACCTCTGTGTACTCTCGATGCCCCCGAGTGGCCTCAGCCAGGCTGTCCCGAGCCTCGCGGCTCCCTGGGGACCCGGTGCTATAGGCACGGACCATGTTGTAGGCACCATCCCGGAGACGCCGCTGGACGCAGTATGCCTCATACAGCTCGTCAATCTGGCAGGTGAGTGAAGTGACAGTGGGGGAATTGATCGACTCACTACTGGGGTTGCTCACCCAGGGCCTAGCATCCCCCCATCCCCCTAAGATACCCAATCTCCCACCCCATACCACATGCACATATGCATGCTACTATATACCTTGCTGGCATGGAACTCCAGCCGTCGCAGGAAGCGTTCAATGGACTTGACTTGCTGGGGGAGAGGTGTGTCAGGAGGAGCTAGGGCCCAGGGCCCTTTAACCTCCCCATGAGCCAACCTCTTCCAACACCATTCGCTATACACTCACCTTGTCCAAGTCATACAGGAAGCCCTGCACGGGGAGATGAGAGGGGGCACTTAGGAGTTATGGAAAGTATTCCAGTAGGGCACTTGCCCATCCAGACCCACCTAGCTCCTCCCCTTCACACCACAGTCCACAGCCACTCCAGTCAAGGCAGGGATTGACCCACCTTCCCACATGCCTGGCCTTTGGTAGGTGCTGGTTACATACATCTGGTCCTCAAGACCCCTCCAGTATCCCTCCCTGTACCTTTTCCCTGGGGTCCCTCCCCTGGCCCACTTCCTTTCCTGCAAACCCTAGGAAGTGAGCTCTATGCCTCTTCATGCATGGTTCCCTCTATGAGGGAACTCCTATTCACCCTTTAAGACCCAGCAGAAGTGTTTCCTCCTCTGGGAAACCCTGAGCTGTTACCCAGGAAGAACCATGGCTCTTCCCTCAGTACCAGTACAATATAATTTCTTGTTGTTCATGTCTGTGGGGGTTTGACCCACCCCACTGGAAGCTCCCATGGGCAGGCACTGGGTCCCAGGCAGAGAGTGTGCACAGACTGGAAACTGTGGGGATAGAAATCCCCTAGCCTTTCCTGATATCCTCTTTTCTAAATAGTTACACCTGGACTAAGTCACCCCAGAAAACAGCCCTGATGTCACCCAGCACTGTCCCTGCCTAATCCCCCACACCACAAGGGCAAAGAGCATTAGTCCAGGGCATCCATGCCAACCCTTTGCTCACCAGGCGGGAATTCCTCTTGGATTCCCTTATCTGAACCTGGAGTTTCTCCTGCTCCTGCTGGTGTACCTCCAAATAGGCCCTGGGGAAAGGGATGACAACAAGAATTAACTTACCTCTGCAGCCTCTAAGCTGCCCGGGGTGGGTACAGGCAGTGGAGAGAGGGTGTGAGGCTAGGGAAGGTTCCCACTAGCAGAAAAGGGGATGGGGGCTCAGGTACCTGGGATGAGGCATTGGGAGGGAATTGCTTACGTCAGGCCCCGCTTGAGCGCAGCGTACACAAGGTCCAGCCGCTCAGGCTGTGGGATCTTGGGGGCTGGGTGCGCCACAGAAAACATCCTGGACACTAGGGAGAGCGCTGGGGGCTTCCGTGGGGGTCCCGGAGGGCTGAAGGCAGGGAAGCTCCTGAAGAAGAGGTTGCACTCAGAAAGGGGTAAGAAGGAGTCCCCCAAACTCTCACTGCACACCCAGCTCCAACCCGATCAGAATCTCTTCCCCATCAGCTCCCCTCTTCTGCATACCTGGGCCCCCGCTCGTGGCTGCCGAGGACGCCTGCGAAGGACTGGCTCCTACTGACCCGGGCGCTGAGCAGGCGACGCTGCGGCCGCACCGACAGGGACATCATGGAATGAGTCCGCGCGGGGCTCCCTGGGGGTGGCGAGGGCGGGTATCCAGCGCCAGTCGGGCCCTTGAAGCCCCCTCCCCGTGGCCCGGCCTCCGTATCTAGTCCTGCCGGACACGGCCTGACGCTGGGAGTCCAAGCCTGCCTGCCCCGGCACTAATGACAGGGAGGCCGCGGGTGACTCGGCCTCGGACTCAGCGTGGCCTCAGCTCGGCCCCCACTTCCTGCAGAGGTGCAGGCTCCGCCTGCTGCAAGGGGCAGGAAGGGGGGTCGCGCAGGGACCCTCCCCGGGCTGGGAAGGGGCAGGAAAGGGGCGGGTCGCGCGAAGAATGTGCGGAAGCGCCTGTTTACCAGGGGCGGGGCGGGCTCCCTAACCCTGCCCCTGACTTCCCCGCAAAGTGGACCAGGAGCTCCGCGCCCGCACCCAGAGAGGCCGCTGGAGGTCACCTGGCGGGGCGGGGTGCAGGCTTTGAGCTCAGCGGAGCTGCCCGACAGGCCCGGCCGGCGCGGGTTTGGTTCCCGCGATCCGCCCGCCGCGGGTAAGCTGCTCCCCTCCAACCCCCACCGGCTCCGAGGCGTCCGGACGCCAGAGCCCTCCCGGCGCCCAGAGCCGGGGGATTCCCAGAGTGGGGGGCAGTGGCGAGAAGTGCCCCGCCCCCTTCACTTTCCTGTGGCTCGGACCTGGAAACTGAGTCATAGACAAACGCCTTCGCCCGCGCCCTTATCAGGAAGGGATCCTCCGCAGACCCCCACCCCGCTCCCGCGAAATACGCTCCCCTGGCCCCCAGAATCAGGCCTGCACCCTCTGGAGCCAGTCCCGGAGTCTTCGCAGCCCCAGGCCGGGTCCTACCTTTCTTCTTGGCGCTCATGGTAGGTCCAGGACAGCCCCCCACCCCCCGCGCTTGTCCCCTGAGTCCCCGCCGGCCCAGGGCCACTCGGTGCCGGCCTGGCTGGGCTCCGCGCTCACTCCTAGAGACTGTGGCTCCAGCTTCAGCTCCTCCAGGCGCCGCCCCCCGCCCAGTTCCTGCCGCCTGACTCAGCCCGCCGGGATGGGGCGGGACCGGCCTGACCAGGGGGGCACCCGGGCCTCGGCCTGCCCGGCCTTTGGGAGGGGTGACTGAGGGTTCCCCTTGGGGAGAGGACTGACAAGGATCTTCTCGGCTGGGGTCAGGAGTTGAGTGCGGCGGTGAATATGGGGGGATAAATAGCATGAGGACACCGTATGGTGGCTGGATTGGGTGCGCTTAGCATAGGGGGCTCATAGAGTGGCTGTTGAGGGGTGCTGAGAGAGGGCTAAACAGAGGGCTGAGAGTTGGGGTTCTGAGTGTGAAGGCTAGCGAGTGGGGCCTGAGAGAGTAGAAGAAAGGACTGGGGTGCTGAAGGACTGTGCCAATGAAGGTGCTAAGCATGAGAGATGGAGGTCAACAAGAGAAAGGGTCTAAAAGTGTGGGATTGGATCAATCCCATATTATTTGTTGCCCAGAGACGGAAGAAGAGAAGGAACTGGATGCAGAGTCCCACAGCCCCATGCACGACCCCCACAGATAGGGTGCTCGGTCTCGCCATTCCCCCCTCCCTCCTCAGACCCCAGGATAGAGGACTTGCTGTCCAGCCAGGGCTTCCTCTAGCAGGAGCTGTATTCTAGGGCGGAGGCCCATCCTTCTCGTCCCCAGCTCACATGGGCTGAATCTCCTTGGTGTCAGCCCTTTCCCCTGAGTCTCTCCCTTGAATATCCCTTGTCCACCTCTAGCCAGGATAGAGGCCACCATACCTAGGGTCCACTGGGCACCCCATCCCTTTGGAGGGGCTCAGTACTCCCCCCACCCCATAAACACTTCTCCTTGATGTTCAATTCTGTTGCACCGGGCTTATTTTCTCCCCAAGAGGCTGGGGTGGGCCCAGGGTGTGCATTTCCAACAAGCCCACCAGCCCCCTACAATCCAGATGCCGGATGTCCAAGGACACCAGTTTGAGAAATGCTATCCTCTCCTTCCTCCTTGAAAACTGGGTGCTATGCACCCTACACTGGCAACTATGCATTCAGTAAATTGCCCGCCCAACATTGGCCTATTGCATCCTTTAGCTAACCCCCATGGGAACACCCCAGCCTTTTCACTTGGCTCTGGAATGCCCCTTTCCCAAATCATAACCACATGGACTACAACCTTCAGGCTCTCTCCATCACCCCCACCTCACCTGCCTTCTACCTGAGACCTCTTGGGTTCTCAGCTCATTTATTCAACTATTCACTGAATGACAAGCATGTGCCAGTCACTGGAGATACAACTCAGAATTGCAGACACCACCCTGCATAGAGCTCACAATCCGCCTCTGCTTCCTTTTTCTCTGCCAGCTCCCTCCTACCTTCTCTTCCCTACCTTCCCTGCACACCCTTCTCCCTAGCCTGTCTCTACGGCCATGACTCCATCACTCGCCTGCTGCTAATATCCCCCAGCACTCTGCACCTCTCTCATACCTGGCAGAAACCAGCCCTGGGCAACCTAGCTCTCTGCTTTCTCTGCACCTGCACATAGGCTGGTGGGAGATGCCAGAGGTCTGGGCCCAGCAGCTGGACTAGAACAACAACAATTCTCAACCTTAGCCAGACTCTCGTTTCCCATGGGGGAAATCCTTAGTTGTGTCCTAGTCATCTCTCTCCCTTCTCATAGAAGATGATGAGTGTTTCAGACACTCTCCACGAGCCTCAAACAAGCTCAAGTCACTCCCCCATAAAAAGTGAAAACAACCCTAGAAACTACCCAAAAAAGAATGAACCATGTACAACTACAAGCAACAGTATGGATTAATCTTAAAGACATGATGTTGAATGAAAGAAGCAGGATCACATAGAGGACATATGTATGATTCCCTTAATAGGAAGTTCAAAAACAGGCAAAACACATCTATGGTGATAGAAGTCAAAATAGTGGTTACCCTTGGGAATAGTAACTGGAAGGGGGCACAAGGGGGCTTCCAGAGTGCTGGTAATGTTCTATTTCCTAATCTGGGTTCTATTTCACGATCCTATATGGGTGTGTTCCCTTGTGAAAATGGATCAAGCTGTACCAATGAGGACATGTACCCTTTCTGTATGTATATTATATTTCAATATAAAGTTGACTTTAACTACAAAAAGAAATGACCCCTCTGTGGACCCTGTTGGGCCTTCACTCCATTTGGCCCTTTCAGAGTCAAGTTTCTAGAAGACATGTCTACCTCCATTTTCTCTCCACACCCACCCATTCCTCTTCCCATCCTGGACCGCCTTTCACACCCATTACTCCCCTGATTGGTCTGGAAGAGGTCACCAGTGCCTCCCTGTTGCTGAATCCAGTGTCCAATGTTTTGTTCGTATCCCACTTGTTCTCAGTAAAGCTTTTCACTGTGGGGCTCTCTTCCTCTTCCTTGAACCCTTCCTTCCCTTGAAATTCAAGAGGCACCATGCCCCTGCTTTTCCACCTATCTCTCTGGCTGCACATCTTATTTTCCCACAGAGGATCTGTCTTTCCATCCCCAAGTGGGCCTCATTCTCCCTGCCCTTGGGCTGTGTACACCTCCTACAGTACATGCCATCTAAATGTTGCCAGCTTCCTTATCTCTCCCTTGCCCAAACTGTTCTTCTGAGCACCAGGCCTGTATATCCAACTGCCTAACTGTTGCCTCCGCAGAAGCTGAACAACAATGCAGTGGGCTATTAGGGATGTGCTGAGTTTGAAGTCCTCAAACTGAATTCACCTCCTCAAACCTGACTCTCCCCAGTCTTAACCTCTCCACGACAGCCCCATCATCTATTTACCCAGGTTTTTAAGACAAACTAGGAGCCATCCTGGATGCCTCAGTCTCTGTTACCCTCCACATCCACTGAGCCACCCACTCCTGCCATCTCTGGATCCTGCCCCCTCACCTCCACTCTCCACAGCTAGAATTCAGGTCCAAGCTGTCACTATTACCTAGTACCCTACAGCAGCTTCCTAATGTACTCCCTGTCTCTACTCTAACCCACAATGATCCATTCTCTATTCAATAACAACATTGCTCTTAAAATTCCATTCACCTGACAATGTCAAAAGCTGTGCTTTATCATGTGCTTTCTATAGGCCAGACACTGTGCTTAATTAACAAACATTTAATTCTGGCAACAACCCTATGGGGTAAGTCCTTAGCCCCATCTCACAGATGAGAAACCTGAAGCTAATTGGCTATGTGACCTTGGGTAAGACATTTCTTCACCCTTTTGGGCTTCAGATACCTATCTGTTAAATTATTATAATAATAGTAATAATAATAATAATAATAATAATAATAATAATAATACCAACAATTATCTCACAGGGCTATTGGGGAGATAAAATGAGATAGTTATACATTGGTTTGCAAGCATAATTCATTCCGGAAACAAACTACTCGTATTGCAAGACATTGCTCGTTTACCACGTTAAAATGGATTAGAAATGTTTGCTTGTCTTGCAGAACACTCGCAAACCATGTTACTCACAATCCAAGGTTTTACTGTACTTCCCTCTAGAGCAGCGGTTCTCAACCTGTGGGTCGCGACCCCTTTGGGGGGCGAACGACCCTTTCACAGGGGTCACCTAAGACCATTGGAAAACAAAAAGGTATTTACATTACGATTCATAACAGTAGCAAAATTACAGTTATAGAGTAGCAACGAAAATAATTTGATGGTTGGGGGTCACCACAACATGAGGAAATGTATTAAGGGGTCACGGCATTAGGAAGGTTGAGAACCGCTGCTCTAGAGGGAATGTTTAGGGGAAGGAAGAATTGTATGTGGGGTAGGGAAGTTGGGGTGGACACATTACCTCAATGTAAGCAAGCACACAACAAATATTAACTGCTGTTATTAACAATTATTAATCTGTCCAAGATTACACAGCTGGTAAATGGTAGGGACAGGATTCAAACCAGGCAGTCTGACCTCCAGACTCTAAATCTTTAAGTCCCTTTATTCTGACTTTTGTGAAACATCCGTGAGTAATACCCTGCCCCAAAGATAAAGTCCAGACTCTCTAATGTGACCCACGATACTCTGTCCCTTCCCTCATATACTTTCAACCACTCCTTTCCTCACAGTCCCGTGCTCCCCGACATGATCTTTATGTTCCAGCTACCAAAACCCTCTCTCAATACCTGCAAGGCATTTGAGCAGCAGCCCCCATTGCTCCTATACCCTCTTCCCACTATCCTACCCTGACCAGCTTCCTCTCTTCTTTCAAGTCTTACCCTATGACTTCTTCTGCCAGGAAGCCTGCCTGGGGTTGGTTCCCCCTTTTAGGCGTCTCATGGCTTCCTCCCTCTGATTGTTGAGGTCACATAACTAGGTTGTCAGTTCTCCTTTAGTGTCTGTCTTCCAACCAGACTGTGAACTCTGAGGACTAGAGCCTGTCTGCTTGGCTCACTACTGTACTCTCTGGGCCTGCACCAGGGCGATGAGGAAGGGGGGAGCTGAGTATGAGTGAGGGGGTGGGGGTCTGAGTGAACTGGGCTGCCCAGACACAGAAACAGCAGATCCTGAGCTGTTGGAGGGGTAGATTTCAAATCTGGTCTACCCTAACGCCCCTACCCCACATACAAGTTTCCCTGTCTTTTCCCTACTTTCTGATTATATCAGCAAGTGGGGTTCTGCTCCCTGGGGATGGGGCAAGGCAGGGTTCCCCTGAGATTCTACAACTGAGTGGGTGGGATGGCTTCAGAGCAGGGTGATTGTCCCATCAATTTTCTCTGACTGGGGCTTGGCTGCCACCGACCCCCTAGTCCCACAGGGAACCAGGATGTATAACTCTTGGTCCAGACTGCTCCCAAATGACCATCAGAATACCCATCTGAGTGACCATTTCAGGGGGTGAATAGGCAGGATAGCCCCTGCTGTGGGGGAGGGAAAGAACTGAACCCCTTGAGCTAAGGAAGACGGTCCACCTGAACTTCAGGTGAAGGTTGGCTAGTAAGAGCCAGAGGACTCTCTGGACTCAAGCCAGCCCTGAAACCTGTTCTGGACATGGGAATGAACCCAGGTTCCAAAGGTGATGGGGCCTGCAGCACAGCCAGCTAGGGGCAGCTGGCAATGTAACTATAGCCATCTGCATGGCTCTAGATCCTGTGACCCCCAATGGCCCCAATACCCTCAATAGGCCAAGACTGCACTTGTGTGAGGCAGGAAGTCCCACCACTTGCACTTCCCAGTTCAGTGGTCACCTCGCCCTGGGAGTCACCGGGTCCAGCTCTACCCCGCTGCCCTGCAGACCCAGACTGAGGTAAACAAATGCTAAAAATAACACGGGCAAGGGGCGGTTGCAAGGGAGAGTGGGTCGCTCCTGAGCCTGCCCCTGTCTCCATGGCAACTGCCCCAAACCTGGCTGCTGATGTCATTCCGCAGCTGTGGAGGAGCTGCCTGGACCCCCACCCACCCCCGGAACCAGAACCAGGGGAGGCAACCAGGTAGCCTCACTTCCTGCTGGCCCCCTCCCTAGTCAGCTGGTCACATTCCCAAGCCTGGTGGCCTCCAATGGGCCAGGCTTGGCAGGGGCATGAGTCCCAGCTGCAGCAATGGGTTGCCCTGACTCAGCTGCACCCTTTTCGCCTGCTTTTCCACCCAGGGAGGACTCAGGCTGGAGCCCTGCGTGTTCCCCCCACCCCCCACTCAAGTCCAGGCCTCTCTCTCTGGCTGCTGCCCCCACAGGACCCAGGACCCAGAGCAAGGGTTGAAGTGAGAGCTAACTAAGCCAGGCCTCCTAGTCTTACTGGAGTACTTTGTACCTCACTCTCTGATTCTCATCTCCCCCACTATGCCACGGAGGTGGATAGTGTAATGCAAGAATTCAGATCTGGGTCTAATTCGCACCTCTCCCCAAACCAGCTGTGTGACCTTGAGACTATTACTTAACCTCCCTGGGCCTGCACCTGCCAGATTGTCATAACCCTCCTAAGAAGGCTGTGCCAGTGCTGAACGCTGCAGGCCTAGCTAGGGCAAGGCGCAGGGCACCGTTATTGTTATAGTAGACTGCACACAGTAGGTACTCAGCCAACCATCCTGGACACACATTAGGAGCAACAAAGTAGGACTGGCTGGGAAGGGTCAGTCCCAAAGGCTGGATTCAGGCCTCAGCCAGGAGAGGAAGACACAGGGTGCCGAGGCCGGACTTAGCCCTGGTGAGTAGCCCCTTCCTCAAACCAGTTCTGCAGGGTGCCCAGGGCTGGCTGCTAGTAGAGATATCACACCAGCCTCTCATTTCCAGGGACAGGGTCTGTTCCCCCACCGCGCCAGGGCGATCCTCTCGGGGTTCAGCAGAGCCAGGTTTGGGCGAAAAGCCCGACCCCAGGCCATGCTGGGCCACCTGGGGCTGGGCCCCAAAGCGGCTTAGGCCAGCCGGTGGGGCCGGAAAGATGAGCTCATCTTGGAGGCAGACTTGCACCCCTCATCGCCCCCTTCCCTTTCTAAGCTCAGCCTCCCCGGTGGCAAAGGCAGCGGGGGCTCCAGTAGAGCGATCGTGCCGGGGCTCAGGCTGCCGCCGAGGGCCCGCCCTCAGGCCTGGTCCACTTCAGAGCCTCAGGGCACCGGCCGCCTGGGCCTTGCTGTGGGAGGGAAGGAGGCAGCGCCGGGCGCGGCAGGCCCGGAGGCGGCGGCTTTTGTGGGGCGAAGCTGCGTCCTCCGCGCCCAGCGGGAAGGCAGAAACGGCACCGCGAGGCTGGGGTCCCGGGGATGGGGTAGGACAGGGCCGCAGCCGGGGTAACAGATCCGCGACCTACGGGCGGGCGCTGGCGGGGGAGGCACTGGAACCGACGCTCCAGCCCCTCGCCGGGCCAGCGGCCCCGGGACACTCACATGGCTGCGCTGGCTACGCGGACCTCGCGCTCTCCGTGCGCTCGTTGCTGCCCGGCCTGGTCGGTCGCGCCGCAGCTGCCGCTGTCTCCGCCGCCCGCCGCCGCCCCTCCCTGCACCCCGCCGCCCAGCCGCCCCGCTCCTCCCCCGGCCCACTGGGCCCCACCCCTTGCGCTCCCGCAGTTCGGGCACCCCTGGAGGCGCCCGCGGCTCGCTCCGCCCTCTTGGGTAACAGAGCGGCCGGTGGCCGGCGGAGCCCACCAGCTTGCGGGTAGGCGGGACCCTGGAGGACGCGACCGCGGCAGCAGCGCTAGGGATCCGCGGGAACAGGGCGGCTTTCCCGGAACGGGTCGCAATGGCAGTCCCATTCCTTCCCACGCAGACCCCAAAACTGGGTTCGTGGTAGAGCCCCGCTTGCCCGTCTCCTCCTCAGATTCCGTGGCCTCTAGAGACCTTTTAGCCCCCCCCCCCCCCC